CTTCCCATCCTGGCGCTCCGCACTCCCCGCCGGCATCCTCCCTCCTCCCTCCCCCTTCCCCCATTCCGTCGCCCGCGCCTGCCTCTTCCCTCCCTGCGCCCCTTCCCCCGTTCACCTCCCTCCTCTCCTTCCAGCTTCGGCGGCGTCCACATCCCTTCCTCGCCGGTGGCGCCCACTTCCTTCCCAACCGCCAGCCCCTCCCGCGGTCCTCCTGGCCCCTCGCCGGCTCTCTCCGACTCTGCCCTCCCCTCGGGGAGCCCCTCACAGAGCCCCCTCACGGAGCCCCCTCACGGAGCCCCCTCCCCCAGCTCCCGCGCCGCGTCCGCAGCCTCCCCGCGCTCCTGGAGCTATCCCTCACCTCCCCCGTCATTCCTAAGATGCCCTCACTCCGCGCTTCCCCCCTTCGCCTCCCCAGCATCCCTTTGCAAGGCCTTTGGTAAGCCCCTTCCTGAGCTGCCCCTTTCCTAGTTGCTCCTTTCCAGCTCCTTTTCTCTTGTTCGAACTTTCCCTCTTTTGCGTCTGTGTCCGCTTTGCTTCCAAGCTTCCCCTGCCGCCTTCCTCTCGCCGTACCCTTCTCTGGCTCACGCTGCCCGGAGCTCAGCCTCTCTGCCTTGCGGTTTGAGGTTGCGTGGGGGTTGCAGAAAGGCCTGCCAAGCCAGCCTCCGAATGGGGACCCATTTGCTCTGCATCCCGTCTGTTACGGGAAGGGCACTCCCCATCCTTTTTGTCCCTGTCGCTGCCTCTCTCGCTTGCCATTCCTTCTTCATCACCCCCCTGCAGTTCTGTTTTACCCACCCAGGGAACCCCCGAGATAACATGCCTTCCCTTAAGGAAGGAGACCCCTTTCTGTTCGGGGATGAAGAACTCCCCCCCCTCCCCCCGCCGCGTCTTTCTTTGGAAGCTTTCTGATGTGTGGTGCGGCGGAGCCAGCACCCTTGGCCAGACAGGAGGGGAGCTCCCTGGCCAGGGCCTCTTCTCTCCTGGCAGAGTTTTTGTGAACGTAATCCCCTAGCCCGGGGCGGCAGCGGCCCGGCTGCTGCTGCTGCTGCTTCTGCTGCGGCCGCCGCCGCCGCGCCTCTGCGAGCTTTGCAGCGGGCGGAGTTGGGGTTACTATAGTTCAAACGCGCCTGAGATCCGCAGGCGGAGGGGTGGGGGAGGAGGTGCAGGGACGGAGGAAGGGGACTTTGCAGTGAGAAGGCATCAAAGATTAATGGATGGCTTTGCATCGCAGCCTACAGGAAACAGGAAACTGGTGTGAAAGGGAAAGAGAAGACTGTATTTTTTAAAACACGGAGTGTGCAGTTCTGTATCTTGAATCACGCCCAAAGGATGAGCTGTCGGTGCTGCAGTCGTGACCCAGGTTGAGCGCTGAATGGCCGAGGGAGCAGTTTTTTAATTTTCACTGCCAGGCTCCTTAAGTTGAAAGGTGTCCCTTCTGTTGAGAGTGGGACTCTATGTCTTTGCCGACTTGCAGATGGCGAGAAACTACAGGACTGCTAGTAGTTTGTGTGGAAATCAGGTACATACAAAGTTAGCTAGCAATGAGTAGGAGTGGGGAGGACCAGCTATATTTAAAGCATGTGCCAGTGCTTATGTAAGAAGTGCATTCTCCCGGGTATGTTTTTGGCTGAGTTTACTTATGATTTTAGGCTCTAGTTTTATCCTTTTATGTTTTTTAGAGCTTATCATCCTGACACATGGACAGCTAGAAAACCTGTCAGTTTCAAGAATGGTTTTAACTGATGGTAGATTTTTATTTTTTTTTAAATGGATGGGACAAGGGAAGGTGATTGATGATGAAAAATAGTTTTTTGTTTTTCTTCTCTTGATGGAAAAAGGTGTAGAAACTTTCAGCCTTAAATTATCTAAGTAGTGTACTGAATAATTTTAAATTGGGTCATATAGCATTCTTATTTTTGCTTTGTCTTTTTAAAAGGGAGTTTATCCAGGAGATGTGAATACTGTTCATTTTTTTTTTTTTTTTGTAAGATCACATTATTTTCCATATCTGTTATTTACCATAATTCAACTGAGATGAGTAATGACTTTAAAATTTTATATGTTTTTAAAATATGTTTTTCATATTCATGATAATTTGTTTGATTTCTTTATATTTAAAACCAGTACAGTGTTTCCAGGAAAGTATGTGTTTCCTAACCCACAAATATGAATGGTGAACTATGCAATGTTATACTTGTATAGACATTACTGTGTTTGCAAATAGCGATTACTGCTTCCAAGATTGGAAAAGTCTTTTAATGAAATCATTGTGGTCCTGTTTTTGGTTAGCATTTGTTGAACCTTTTTTGCCATTACTGGACAGAGAGGCTTTGGGGTGTGTGTGTGTTTAAAGCTATTTTACTGTGTAAAGCATCCTTAAATTTTGTCACATTTAGTTTGTTACTTGCTGAGGTGTTGTGTTGGAGTATTACTTTTCCAGTTCTTTTCATAGTTCAAGGAGGAAATTTTGAAATCTGACATTGAAAGTAAAATGTGTGTGATTGAACTGGGCAGGAGGTAGCTTATGTGTTTGGCTTTAGGAGTGTCAAGCCTTTAAATTTTCTTTGCCTTTAGCTCTCTTCCTTATTTTGAGAATTATTTGGTATTGTTTTGGTTTTAAGAGAACTTGGAGCTCGCCCTGACTTAGTATATGCTCATTAGATCTATCTGACAAATCTGAGGAAAAAGACAAATTAGACTTGAACCAAACTTAGCTATTATAATCTCTTTACTCCAGGAAAGAAGGCTCTGTTTTTACTGAATGCTTGTAATATAGTGATTTGGCAGGTGTGAGTGATTTGGTATCTGCAAATAAGATAACTATTTCGACATTTTGTTTAGGTGTTGGTTTAGGTTGTAGTGCTAGAGTGTAGTGTATGGTATTTATTTGCGCTGGTCACCACTCTCATGGCATTTCTACTTTAGAAAGATTCAGAATTATTAAGTTTTAGAGGATTTTTTTTTTCTTTTTTCCTTCCACATCTTTTGTGGGTAATGTTTTCGATTTGGTTTTCCACATATTAACTTTCACATGTTTCCTCCACATCCCTGTACATGGTCAGCTTGCCAGTTACTTGCGAAAATATTCACATACAGAAATAAATGAAACATTTAGTAAGCAGTAGGTTTGTGATTAAATGGACATACTTCATTTTATTCAAGATCCTTAATTCAGGTGCTTGAGTCTTGAGTTCTTTGTGTAGTAGTTTGGGCATCTGCCGGCTTGGATGTTCTGTATTGAGTGCTTTAGGGATCCGAGATTCTCTTTTTATTGTTCTATTTGTGAGACAGGAGTCGAGATAAGTAAGAGGGAACATGTACCATTGTGCTAATGGCTTTTATTTTTTTGTAATAAAGACTATCCTATGTAAGAATTAGGGAGATTCCCCCCCCCCCCC